GATTGACCTGGTGCCAGGGGTGTGATTTGGGTGTTGGTGCACCGCATGTCATCCCCAAAGCTTTATAGACACTCAGACCAGAGAACGCTCAGCTACAAGCCAGAAATTATTCTGGAAGAAGGAACATTTTGGAAATATTTAAGAAATGCCTCAAGCTACATTATAAACATTTTAATGAATATTTACATAGTTTTAATATATGTAAATATTACATAAATGAAAAAAATATTAAGGTAAATATTAGAGAATACCAACAGCATGATTTTAAAGAGGAATGAGTTTTGGTTTTTTTTTAGAAACAACTATTAAAGGAAAAGTTTGGTCATATTCAGAATTTAAACTTCTGAAAGTCCTTTAAATATGAAATTGTTCCATCTTGTTCAATAAATGATCAGTGTTTTTAATTAGGAGTAATTTTCATGTGAATGTGCTTTACTGGAGACATCCATGTTTGTCAAAGAACACTACTGCCACCTACTGGTTAGTGACGTCACTGTGCGGTATCGGCTGTTGATCAAGTCCCAGTGCTGTATCTGGTGTTTGTCACAACGCGTTATTATCCAAGTCATCTTGAAAACATTCTTCTTCCAAATGTTGGCTACATATTATGTGTTTTTTCTCTGAGCTAGATGGGGGGGGGGGGGGGGGGGGGGGGCATGGTCACCCTCAGCCAATCATTGGCCACCGCTACTATTTTTCCCCTCTAATACAGACGGTGGTAGCAGTCTCTCAAATGGAATATTCAAAACATTGAAATTTTTCATATATTAACAATTATTTGACAACAAAAACACTTTAGTTAATGATGCACATCAATATATTAACATTAAATATAAAAACAGAATTCTAGATTTTGCGAATATGTGATAAAGAGAAAATGTTGTGTCTCTGCAAGTCATCTAGGAGTCTTCAGTGAAATCATAGATAAATAACTATTTTGATAAAAACTTAAATAATCAATTTATGTAGATATTAGTACCTGTAAATATAATTTTTATGCAGAATAATTATCGATAAAAGTTGGTAAGTAATGACAATGGAAAAGATGTTCATCCCAGAACTCAAACCTGAGAAATGTATCCACTATTTATCTACCACCTTTTAACTGGGAAGCACAGATGTTTAAATATATGCATCTATTTGTTAGCAAAGGCTGTAGGAAAGGATAGTTTGTCTTTATTTAGAAAATATGGATGCTGTGCTCGGTCATTTTTCTGTTGGAACCGTGTAGATTGACCCTTAGGTCCTCACCCCTAGGTGGACATTGGTTATTGCCTGGCCGCCCTTAGAAACATTTTCTGGCTACGTAGAGATGTCAGGAAGTCGCTATGCTAAATAAACTAGCACTATGCTAGCACTATTCTAACAGCATTTAGCATGGCGTCCGCTGAAGCATTTCCTCTTTGGGTGAGGTCTTCTTAGATTTGCTCTGTTGGATTTATCCAGGTCTGCATTGCCAAGGAGGGACTTCTCTGAGATGCAGAGACCTGATCTGTTTCGTTAGTGGGGTCCCTGTTAACGAAAGCCTGTAGCCTTGAAAACGAGGTTTAGTCTGGTTTATCTGTGTTCCTTTACTGGTAGAAGCACAAAATTTAACGTTAATCAGTAAAAATATCAAAACAATAATTTTCGTCATGATCACTGAGAGGCCATTTCTGCCCAAATATAATAACAGCTCACTCCTGACATGCTTTTATTCACCATTTTTTTTATTTTATCCATAATTGGGCTGCTGTTTTTCTGTTTTATCTTGCTGTTTTTGTTTTTAACCTTAACATGTCCTTTATTATCTACTATGCAATATTTTCCTTTCTGAGATTGGGTCATTTGCCCTACAGTCTATGCATATATTTATTTTTTTCTTTGCTTTATGTTCTTTTTATATCCATATGCTTTCGTCAGGTTATTTCACAGACAATCGCACTTTCCCCATTGTGGGACAATAAAGGCATTATCTATTCTTATCTCTTGTATTTAATTAACAACAGATGCTGATCAGGTTGATGCTATGAATGCAGCTACTCTACATCATTTATGTTAATCTGTCAGCTGGCCGAGCTTCCACTCCCCTGGATAAAGACCAGCTAATTCTGTTTATGAGCTCCGGTACTGAATCAATGAGAGGACGTACCCAAACACATGAACACCAGTTTCTAGTGATGACTGGAGATAAATTAGATGATTTATCAAACACAAGCACTCAATTGCTACTTATCATAGATATCAAGGAAGCTTCTCTTGTCATAAGGTTGAATGTATCGTTTTTGATGGTGTCAGACACGCTGGGTCAATGGTTTTCCACAAAAACTATACCTCAGGTATTACAGAAACTATCCAGTAATAGCAGCAGTTTGGATGAAAATGTCTTGCTAATGCCAGCGGTAAGAAAAGAAGAGGCCGATTGGTTCTAGGTGTCAGAAACGCAACAGCAGCTAAAACAAAGAATCGATATAAGCAGAAAACCATCTCTGAACACGCATGTATGCTGCTTCTGTATTTACACACCTTCACTGATGTTAGACTATATTAAATTAGAAAAACACTTCTGGTCATTGAATTCTCTGGACTGTTGGGTCAGAACGGTCAAACGTCATAGAAACATGGATCCATTCTGCCCTACGTTAGAGGAAAAGTCCGGTCAGCACGGAATAATCATTAGATCATTATTTATAGCAAAAACGGATACATTCATGGTGATTTTATGAATTTAGTGTTAATCATTTATTGCCCAAATATAGTAACCCCTCCCTCCTGCCATCTTCCAGCAGAGACGTCACGATGCGGTAAGCCTAGCGCCATTCTCCCCGCTTTACAAGCCAAATCAATGGGAACTACCGATACCATCTGTTTGAAATTGATGTGTGTTTGTATATGTGTGAAGAACTGCATACTAGGATTGTCACGAAACTAAACTTTTCAACTCCATACCCATACTAAGGAAAATATTCGATACTCGATACCACAAGGATAAAAACAAAGACTTCAAAATTCAACAGAAATCTTTTCATTAATAAATAAAATACAATAAATAAGAACAATAAACAATGAGAACAATATTTTGAGGTTGTATGCTGTGCACAATATTAAGCAAGCATGATAAAAAAATTATTAGAATGATGTGTTCCTTCCTTGGCTATGCTTTGCACACATAACAATGACACAAGCCAAACCGGTTAAGAAACAAAAATAATTCTCAGCAGCTGCACCTGTTACAAAAAAAGTCTGAAACTGAGAAGTGCGTAGAATTATTCAATCACACAGTGTTCAGAAAGTGCATTGTCCTCTATTCTGCACTTTAGATGAATGACTGCTTAGGTGCCACTGGTGGTAGCACTGTATCGATACTTTTAAAAACGAGTAATGTATCCGGATACGTTTCAGTATCGATACTTTTGACAACCCTACTGCATACTACTTGGATGTAAAATAATTGCCATCATGACTTTATCAAGCTGCTGCCTACCTTTGTGAAGCAGGAAAAAGACTAATAGTGAATCCATTAGAACTTTTTATTGCCTACCTGGAACGGGTGACAATAGTTGAATAAACTTTTGGCTCTCTAAATGGTATTGGTGCCCTATTTGTTGGTACCCACTTATACCGATACCACCATTTTAGTGCTGGATCGGGGCCCCGCCTGATACTGGTATCGGACTAGTTGTGACAAACAGCAGAAACAGCACTGGGACTTGATCAACAGCCGATACCGCACCATGATGTCACAAACCAGTAGGTGGCAGTAGTGTTCTTTGACAAACATGGATGCCTCCAGTAAAGCACATTCAGATGAAATTTACTCTGAATTAAAAACATTTATCATTTATTGAACAGGATGTAATAATTTTCATTTTTAAAGTACTTAAAGAAGTAAAAATTCTGAATATGTAAAATTATTAAATTTCTCATTAAACGCACACAGATAATTCCTGCTACTTCTGCATTAATAAATGATGGCTGTAAACTGAAACGCCTCGTGTCCATCAGCCATCCTCTGCATCATTTTAAACAGCTAAAATGTAGTCGCTCCAGTTGGAGTGTTTAAAGAGCTAAGCCCTACTTGTCAGGGTGTAATTCAGAACCATGAGGGGGAAAAATGCTCTTATCACATGACCTTGAACAGAAATTTAGTTTCAATCTCTTGGAAATCCTTGAAGTGAGCTTTTAAGGAATGACAAAAATCCTTTATCCATTCATTCTGTTTTCATTCAGAGTTCCAAGGTTATTAGCGGAGCCTAGAAGGTGATGCAGAGAACAGAACCATGTTCTCCTTGTGTCCTCCACTCATGACACACTGCAATGAATGGAAGTCATTTTTTCTTAATTTGAGGAGATAAGTGAGACACTTTGTCATTTGAATGAGACAATTTACATTTAAAATAAGAAAAATAACTGCATTGTCTTATTTAAAGTGCATATTATCTAAATATCTTATTTTAAGAGTTAAAAAAATACTCATTCCATTGGTAAATCATATTATTTACTTCCTCAAATTAAGGGAAAATACATTTAATTTAAGACATTTTGTACTTTCTAAAACGTTTCTGAAGTACTTGGTCCCTTACTGGAAGGTTGAGTCATGCACTGCAAAACCAATCTAGAAATAAGTCAAAAGTTTTTAAATTTAGTGTATTTACCCTTAATTTGAGTAGGAAAATAAGATGATCTGCCAATGAAATGAGTATTTAATAAGAAAATTAGATAATATTCACTCGAAATAAGACAATGCAGTTATTTTTTCTTATTTTAAATGTAAATTGTCTTGTTGGCAGTGTCTCACCTCATAAGTTCAAGAAAAAATGACTTAGATTTACACTTTTTGCAGCGTTAAAGGCTGAAAGAGTCCTGCTAAAAAAAAGAAGAAGTTTATTTTACACAACTTAGATTTCTTTCTTATTTAGATTTCAGTTTTTTACAGTGTGCTGCTCCCAGCTCACCACCGCTCCTTCATTGTCTCTCCCTCTTTCTTCCCTGTTGCTTCCCTTCTTCTTTTCTGTCAACAGTTATCCTCGAGAAGCCCATTCGCATCCCAAGGTCCCTGTCGGTTAAAGCTGCCAGCGTGCTCAAAGGCTTTCTAAACAAGGTGAGAGCAGTCCACTCCCACCACCACCCCAGTGTGAAGCAGGGAGCTCTGCAGCGCGTAGTTCCAGCTGCCGTGTTCTGGACAAACCTCTGTTATTCAGTCATTTTTCATACAACATTCATTTCAGCACCCAATCACAGAAAGGCCATGAGGGAACAAAAGGGAAATGTTGTTGCACCACATTCCTGCAGAAGGATTGATGTAAACTATGAAGCAGACTTTAACCCTGGACTGTTGCCTGTTTGTGTCAGCGGGACGCTAACCAGTTTCTGCTCCCAACAGGATCCCAAGGAGCGCCTGGGTTGCCAGGTCCAAACAGGCTACACAGATATCAAGTCACACACATTTTTCCGCAGTATAGACTGGGACCAGGTAAGAACCCAACCAGTGAGAGCTGGGAAAAGCATTGGGGGCTTTTTGTTTTACGTCCAGCTTAAGGTTTAACTGATCAAATGTGAACTGCTGTTCCTAAAGAAAAGTCATGTTCAAGGAAAGGATTAACATCTTAACGGATATTAAAGATTCAGTTCAAAATCTCCTAGATCTGTTCCACACAGAGGGACATAATTCTAGTTTTTCCTTCTGATTATTTGATGATTGTGGGTAAAATTTAAAACTCTGACTGTTCTTCATGTCTCCTCTCAGTATTTCCGTTTCATGTAGCATGGCGTAGCGCCACAGCAGAATACAAGTTGCCAAACCTTTAGAAGGCATTAAAAATAGGTTTAAATGTAATGGGAGTGATATAGCTTAATGTCCATTTGTGCTCTAATCACAACCACAGTTTAAAGTGAATTTAACTGCTTAGGACTTTTTATTTATTTTTTATTTTTTAATAGGAGACAAATCAAGTCACCTTTCTCTGTGTTTTTGAGAACTTTAGAGACTTCACTTGAAAGCAGCGATCTTTGACATATCTATCAGTTAGACCTGCTGTAAGTCTCGCCCTGCTGCCCTCAGCACTGTCTCACAGGCATCTTGGTCACAGCAAAGAGCGGAGAGGTGACCTGCTACTTTCCCCACAGCTAACGCTGCAAAAAGCTGCTGATTATTCCGCCCTGGACTACAAAACAGGACAGTAATATAATGTAAATATGAGGGTTGGGAACTTATTAGCATTTGCAATATAATCACAATTTAACAAACCACAATTTTTAAGTCGAAGAGGTGCTGAATTTTAATTGCATGGTATTTAACAAACTTAAAATTTCCCCCTCCAGCCCTTAGGGTGCAGTAAAGTGCTTGAAGTGCGGTCATGGCCTCACAGACAGGTAGAGAGAGTTGTAGTTAGCATGCAGATCCATACATGCAGGTTGAAGGTTACAGTAAAGTTCTACAACAATGGACTCTTGGAAAGCTAGATTTCTCAAAACTGAAGGCCCGGGGTCAACCATCTACAAGCTGGGGTTTTTGGAAAGGAAAAATCAAAATAAAATCATGATTCTGGATAAAATAATCCCAATTTCAATTTTTAGGAAAATCGTCAGTCCAAGTAAATCTGTATTTTTTAATCTAGTCTCCGTTCTTTTATCTAAAACTACTGCGCTATAATAATTAACTCAATTAATCATCATGCTTTTACCTCTGAATACTTTAGGTCAAATTAGATGTTTACAGTGTGGATTCAGGCAATATCCATCATAGATTAAATTGAATTATATTAATATCCGTCATAGATTCAGTAAAAGAAGTTTAGCAAATCCTGTTTTGAACTGATCAAACAAGATTTTGAAGCTGTCTTCGGTAAAATGCTTCGAGCAAATGAACAGTTGAGCATCAAACTTTGCAGGGATAAAAAATAATCCATGCTGGACGAGTCTTTGGGAAGACTGTGAAAACTTTCTCTGTGGAGCCTGAAACACTGCATTTACGCCCGTGGTTTTGGATAATTTTCAATAGAGAAACTGCCTGCTCTGTAATTTTTGTAGAAGTAAACCCAACTGTAGGCTAAACAGCTAAACTGCTGTCATCCATCTACCTCTATTCATGTTCTTGGGCAGTGAACCAGTGGGCTGGTCTGTATGTCATTTTTTGGGCGTGACAAAAGTCCAGGCCAGAACCAAATAAGGCAACATCCCTAAATGGAAATAATTTCGGGGCTTCGTTTTTGCAGATTTGTAGAGAAAAGAGGTGTCGATGGGATTTGAACTTCTCTGGTCATTAATTTCACCCACTGAACTATCGTTATTCATCTATGACAATGGAAACTTGTTTTTTTGCATTCTATGACGCCTTTAAAACTGCCACAGTTTTAAACTGAGTGACGAAACAAAAAAATCTGGAATAAAAAAATCAAACAATTCACGGAGAGTTAAAAGATGAAAAATGCTTCCAATCGATTATCAATCCCTGGTGCCAAATCCTAGACACAGGGTCCAGGGATATGTCTCAGGTCTGTCCAGGTGGATCAGGATGATGTATTATTGGCCCTTATTTGAACATTGTCTGTGAGGAACCTGATAAAACACAGAGAAGGTTCCTCTGACCTTTCTTTGAAAAGTTGTCCTCTAAAAGGAAAGTAGGTGACTATGGTAGAATCCTCAAAGCAGTGTTGGTTCCTCTTGTCTTGTTCCAATTAAAAAGTGTTTGTGGTATTCTTTCTGTATTAAAGATGTCCATCCCTTTTGGTATCTGTTATGCATCTGTACCACTGAGGAACATCATCCACAAAGAAAATACATTCCAGATTCCTATAATCTGAATGACTGAGTCCCTAAACAGTAATGACATGCACACATAGAGCGCCATCATCAAGTTAAAACTAGAATTAAAACCTTGTCTAATTGATTTAGCTCAGTTTTTCAAACGGTAACATTAAATAAACAAACTTGAAATGATCATTGACTCCTGTTAAGAAAAGGCAGCACTTCAGGTTTTCTGGAGCGTTATGAGTCCGTGCTGCTTCCTGACAGACTGCTGCTCATAGACAATCTTTGCTTTGACTCCACAGCCTGACGGTTCACTTAAAATTCATCTAAAAACAACAAAGAATGCACGCCCACATTTAATGTGAGTCAGCTCAGAGCTGCAGAACGCTGCACAGCTGTCATTCTACATTCTGAAGCGCCTTAATCAGCCTCCATTCTCTGGCTCTGCTGCTGTACATAGGAAGGCCCTGAACACGGAGAACACACCCTCCTGTTGATGATCTGAAGTGGGGGGGGGGGGGTTCAATGATATAGTTCTAAACACTCATGCACCCTGTCTTCTCTCTGGGTGAAGCAACAAGGCTAATAAAAGAGAATTACCAATCAGAAGCATTTCCTTATACCCCTCTAAAGAAAACATTTTTAACATAATAAAAGGAATAAAACAGTGACCGTTATTATTAAAAAACTTAATGAGTTTTAAAAGTATTTCTCATCTTGATGTTAGAATAGTCAATCTCTGAGGACATAAATACGGCATGGCATGAATTATCTATGGTTCTTATTAGAGATGTCTCAATTCAGTATTGAATATCGGTCCGATTTCAGACAGAATTATGGGATAATATCGGCCTCCTTTTAAGATCTCAGACTTAGGCAAGCTAAAAAAGACACTCTGCGTCTGCTATAAATAAAATATAACCAATAGTTTAATGACAAAGGGGTCAGCTGTTCTCTGACCTTTTGTTGTTTATTATTGTTTGTTTAAAGCTACAGTGTGTAACTTTTAGCGACATCTAGCGGTCAGACTGCAGCAACATGAACATCTCCCCTCCACTGCTTCTCCCCCCCAACAGTACGGCGAGCGTTACGGCACAAAATGTCTTCCACGACGTCCGCATCACCTACCTTCTCAAGTGATGAGGTTTGTTTACATAGATAATTTTACAGATAGTATTTCATTAGTCTGTGTAGGGTATAGATTTCATGTAGACTTAGGATAATAAATATACCCGTTATTTTTTCTACATCGTTGTGACGTTTTGGCGATCTCGCCATCACTAGTTTGTTGGCTCTGCGCTGCCATGGCGCAAAGATGTCTGCCTCCATGGCTGCAAGACCCGCTCCTATGTAATTATAAATAACGAATTCTAAGGCAACGCAAATATTAAGGTTAAGAGGCTGAGCTCGTAGATGATGATAAATAACATAGTTATATATAATATATTACATTTCTGACTGTATATCCCTGTAATTATTACACACTGTAGCTTTAAGTGATGTCACTGATCAAGCATCATCTTACATCACACAATACAAAACACTACAGCGGCCTTAGCCATTAAAGGAAAAGTCCAGCCATATTCAGAATTCAAACTTCTCAAAGTACTTTCAATATCAAATTTTTTACATACTGTTCAATATATAATCAGTGTTTTAAATAAGAGTAATTTTCATGTGAATGTGCTTTACTGGAGGCATCCATGTTTGTCAAAGAACACTACTGCCACCTACTGGTTTGTGACGTCACGGTGCGGTATCGGCTGTTGATCAAGTCCCAGTGCTGTATCTGGTGTTTGTCACAACACGCTATTATCCAAGTCATCTTGAAAACATTCTTCTTCCAAATGTTGGCTACATATTACGGGTTTTTTCTCTGGCCGGAAGTTCGATGGCAAATCCTCCCTCTTCAAGTTGGCGATCCAACGACCAACCCGTCCCTGGAGGAAAGGTGAAATTAATTCTTTCTTTTAACTTTTACCCGATGTATTCCAGCATCCAGCTGCCATGCACGTGGGCATTGTCAGTTTCACTATAGCTCTGGTGAATTTCAATGGTGAAGTCCTCTGGAAATCTTCAATAATTGTTGTTGATTGCAGATGTGTCTAGTAGTTCCCATTGATTTAGCTTGTAAAGCGGGGAGAATGGCGCTAGGCTTACCGCACCGTGACGTCACTGCTGGAAGATGGCAGGAGGGAGGGGCTACTATATTTGGGCATAAATGATTAACACTAAATTCATAAAATCACCATGAATGTCTCAGTTTTTGCTATAAATAATGATCTAATGATTATTCCGTGCTGACCGGACTTTTCCTCTAACGTAGGGCAGAATGGATCCATGTTTCTATGACGTTTGACCGTTCTGACCCAACAGTCCAGAGACTTCAATGACCAGAAGTGTTTTTCCTAATCAATATTGTCTAATATCAGTGAAGGTGTGTAAATACAGAAGCAACATACATGCGTGTTCAGAGATGGTTTTCTGCATATATTGGTTCTTTGTTTTAGCTGCTGTTGCGTTTCTGACACCTAGAACCAATCGGCCTCTTCTTTTCTGACCGCTGGCATTAGCAAGACATTTTCATCCAAACTGCTGCTATTACTGGATAGTTTCTGTAATACCTGAGGTATAGTTTTTGTGGAAAACCATTGACCCAGCGTGTCTGACACCATCAAAAACGATACATTCAACCTTATGACAAGAGAACCTTCCTTGTTATCT